CAGTTGTCCAATCTTAATACTGGAGCATGTGTCTCAGTACTGTACGCATGAAAAGATAAAAGTACCTTTAGAAAACAAATAAAGAAGCAATTCTCTTTGGTGCTGAAGAGATGACTCCGTGGGTGAAAGTGTGAGGACCTGAGTGCGAATCCCCAGAATCCACACAGAGCCAGACCTAGCACATCTGTGACCCCAGTGCTCCCACAGGAGATGGGAGGTGAAGGCAGGAGAAGCCCTGCATGCTTCCTCCCTCCCTCCCTTCCTTCTTTATTCTTTCCCCCCTATTCTTTTTCGCTCCCCCCTTTTCTCCCCTCCTTTCTCCATCCATGCATTTCATCCCCCCCCCCACAGCTGCATTTTAGGTCCCTTTGCAGAAGTTCCTGCCTTCTAGCTGGCTGGAGGTAAGGGCTGGTTCATCTCAAGCCACGGCTTCCTCTCCTCTCCTCTCCCTTTCCTACTCTTCTTTCTAGCTCCTCTCCCCTCCACTCTCCACTCCGAGGACATTGCTGTGTGCATCTGCATCTCCACATCACCTCTGAATCCCAACACTGTCCACAGCAGACATGAGGTCTCCCTTCAGAGGTTCGCTGTATCCCATGGTTTGCCTGAGCCATGCATGTGGCTCTCAAAGCTGATTCGTCTCAAATTAGTCCCTTCTAATGTTTATCCAGCCAGTCCCTCACATGAAGAGGTAAGAGCTAACCCTGACTCAGCCTCCTCTGCCCTCTTCCTTGGCTTCTGTCTAGATTCTATCAACTAGGCTCAGACTTCTTTGTTCAAGTAGAATTCACCACCCATCTCTCGTCTGCAGTCTCACACCAAACCCCATCGCATATTGCTAGGTTATGAGACAGTTTCTTTACTTTTGCTCCTCCCACTATCCATCCACCATTGTCCCAGTCATCAGAGGTGACTAGGGAAATGCAAGTGGCCCTTGTCACTGCCTTGCATAAATGCGCCCAGCATAAATCCAATGCATTTCAACATAGGTACGTGTGTGTGTGTGTGTGTGTGTGTGTGTGTGTGTGTGTGTGTGTGTGTGTACACCAGAGGCTATCCCTGAGTATCATTCCTTGTTTTTTGAGACAGAATCTCACTGGCCTGGACCTCACCGGGTAGGCTGGAGTAATAGCAAAAATCTCCTCACCCACAACTGAGTTCAAAGGAGAAAGAGACTCAGGTTCCCCAATTCCCTTCAAGGGCACACCCCCAATGACCTAAAACACCAGTCAGCCCTACCTTTCAGAGTTTTTACTTCCCTCAATAGCCCCAGATGCTGGGACTAATTTCCCCCTCCTCACTCCCCCCCTTTCCCCCTCTTCCCTCTGTCCTTCCCTGCTTCCTTTTCTTCTTTTCTCTCCCACCTTTCTTCTCTCCTCTTTCCTTCCTTCCCTTTCCTCGTGTTCTCTCCCCCATTCCTTCCCTCCCCCATTTATTTCCTTCCTTCTTCCCTCTTTCTACAATATCATCTGTATCCATAAGACACTTCCCTTCCGCGTGTATGTCAGTTTCTGCCTCACCACCTGCCTCCACTTTGAAGTCTGGAATTGTATGATGGTTTAGTGTGGCACTGGAGATGAAACCCAGGGCTCTATTTTTCCCTTCTCCTTGACAAGCACTCCGCTAGCTGAGTTACAATCCCAGACTCTGGATTTGACTTCAAATCAGGCCTTGCAATTTAAAATCATGCCTAAATATTTTAATGAAGCTCATAATTGATATTCATGAGAGGACACTTGCTGAGGATGACACAGACCCCTTAGGAGAAGCAGAATCCCTGGTGACAAGGGGTTCTCCAAACGCTACTTACCACACTACCAGACCTCGCTACTGGGGGGTAGAAGACGGTAGGACCAGTCACCTGCTAGCTCTGCTCTGCTCAACCCGCCACCTAGTGGACACTCGGTGGAGGAAGCCTGCACCCCCTGCAAACCAAAAGGGCTCCCAGCAAAGCCGAGGCTGTGAAAGGCTGCTTTGTGGCAGGGAGCTACGGGGTGGGCAGGGCTGCACAGTCCACATTCTCTGCTTTGGAGGAGGTTACAGTGTGATCATGATGTTTGAATTTCTTTCATTAACCATAAACCCATCTATTCCACCTTGCTTGGTATGCACAACTGTCACCCCAATTGTCACAACCCACAACAGCAGAGGGGAGGATGGTATCTGGTGGTGATGATGGCATTTTTATACCAATTCACTCACTTAATTGTCCCAGGAACCCCAGGCAGATACTTGCTCTATTCCCACTCTGCATGTGGAGACAGAGACTCAAAAAAGTGAAGCACTTTGCTCAAGGTCACACAGGTTACAGGGACAGTCCTGGAACCCAACACTGTGCTTCCCAGAATTTCTCATTCTAGGGTCACTCTGGGCAGAGAGGGGAGAGATCTGAAAATGCAGAAAAGCCATTGAAGATTATAGCCCAGAGCCACATTGAGGCAGGTTTTGAGAGACCCTGGTCTAGGTGGAGGAAGATCCCAGTTCTGACACATGTATGGACCCTGGGAAATCCCTTTGTATCTTCAAAGCATCTCTTTTCCCATCTGTATTAGAGGAGAAGGAACATAAATGCACAAGACTGTGTCTGTTAGGGAAGGAAAGAGCACTCACAAAGCAAATAAGGTGTGGTAGGTATCTCTGTCCCAGGTAAGGCTGGCCCAGGCTAAGCCCAGAAGTTCTTTGTAGGAATATCTCTGAGACCTATGTTATGATGGAATAAACTGCAGCAGCCAGGGGTGGGGAGCATGTGACCAGAGTGACAAAATGGGTTAACTGAGCCTCAAGAGCATCCGATAAACACTCATTCTCTTTAGACCACTGTTTTCAGAAAGTGGACCTGTTCTGGAGGGCTGGGAAGCTAGAAACAAGAGGTGGGTGTCATTTATCTGTGCTGGGAATGGATCAAACCCAGGGCTTCCAGCAGATGCAGACCAGGGGCTTTCCCCTCTGATGTAGGGGTCTTCCCTACACACAGGAGGGGCTCCTTTCCCTCTTTTATCCATCTTGCTGCAGTAGAGGGAAATAGAAAACCATCCTTTAATCTGTGTCCAGCTGCTTAAAGACTTAGGCTCAGAGGAAAAGCACACATGCATTAGGGTACAGGAAGAGCAGGCTGGGGCATTATAGGAGATGAACTCACACACCTGTCTGGAGTGGGGCTCCCCATGCCCTCAGTGTGCATACTGAAGGTAAGGGAGGGCAATCTACTAAAACATTCAGTGTCTAAAATGTCGTGATGACATTTAATACTTTGTATGATACTTTACAAAAGGAACCAAGTTTAAAGAAGAAAATGAGTATCAACAAAAGGATGAGAGGGAAGGGGGCAATGCAAAGGAAGAGAGGGAGAGAGGGAGAGGGAGGGGGGAGGGGGGGGAGGAGGAGAGGTCTGACTTTAAGAAACCCAGGTTTAACACCACTACTGATATCCTGTCTCCCCAAAGGCCACACTTTGATTATTATTTTTGTTCTCTGTTCTCACTTAGTTCCCTTTTTATTTTTTAAGTTGTCCATCATCAGTTACTAAACGTGCTCAAAATCTCACTTTGAAGGGCTAACTAGACCTATAAGACTAATTGGCCACCTCTTCCCTTCTGAACAAAATCAAGGTGTGTCCCATGTCGCCTTATTCCTTTGCCTGGAAGTTAGCTGCATTCTGTAGTGTGTGACTCCCCACACCCAGTGAAACAGCTAAGTTTTGAAAAAGAAAGTGAGGAAAACAAAAGACTGCAATATACAAGTGTGAGCACTTCTGTTTTCAAGTGGGTTTTCTCAGGGAGATGAGCACTAGCCATTGGCCCGTGGAGGAAAGTGTCTACACCAAATAGATTCTGCCCTGGGGTATTGGCTTTCTAGAGTTCTTCCTGGCAGTCAGCGTGGCTCAGCTTGTAAGGGTACTTGTTGCTAAGCCTGAGTTTGATCGCTGGACCATCCCACATTGTGGACAGAGAGTACCTAATCCTAGTAGTTATTCTCTGACCTCCACACAAAAAATATGTATAAATGATTTTTATTTTTTAAAGAGTCCTTCCAAAAGTTAGTGGGGGCTCGCTGGAGAGGCGTTTTTCACAATTTGAAGTCCTAGTTTTAGGAAAGATCACCCAGAAGCAAGACGGATTAAAATCTGGTCACTCTGAGGCTTCTAGAGGGTCCTTCCCACAGAGCTGGAGGCTGAGGCTGTCCTGGACTTGGGGCCGGTATAGACAGAGGATGCATTTGGTGACCCCACCAGGACCTTGTAGGCACCACGATTCTGAACACCATCATAGCCATGTGTGACAGGTGCTGTGTGCACCCGCTGACTGCGTGCGTGCGTGGGTGCCAGTGCATGGTGGTCTGTGGGAGGTGTGTGTATCTATGGAGCCCCAGCGGGGGGCTGCGGCCCGCGGGTCCCACTTGTGGCTCCTGGGCGCCGCCAGCAGGCATATCTCCGGAGGACGCCGCGGGATGAGAGCTGATGACAGGAGGGCGCCGTCTCCCGAGTGATGGCAGCGCACGCCGCTGCCTCACCGCCTCCGCCGCTCCGTCCTGATCTCCTTACGTCAGGGTAGCTGGGTCCCCCCTCCACCCGGGAGCCAGCGAGCAGCGGGAGAGCAGAGCAGAGCGTGCGGTAGAGCCGTTCCAGAGTCCGGTTGAACCCTGCCAAGACCCGTCAATCCCAGCAGAGCAGGAGCTAGCGCCGTTGAGCCAACACCGGACGCCTCACCGGACCCAGCATTCTCAGCCACTGCCACCTGGTACCTGCCGGGGCGCCAGGCTCGTCCTGTGCGCCCCTCGCCATGCGTGTCGGACTCTTCGACTCTCCAGATCAGTTCCAGCGCGGTGGCCACCGGATCCCAGGTCCGGATATCTCCCGTTAAAACAGTTGTGTAGCCAGGACAGGGGTCTCCACGTCGGGGACCGCGGCGGGGACCCGCGGAG